TTCGGAGACCGGTAGGGAATCATATGTACGAGGTGGCAGATTTGAACGGGAAGTTGGCCGGAGTGTTTCATGTCAGAGACCTGAAGCAATAGAGGAACGACCGCGGAAGTGGACAGCACCCTAAAACCTGGAGGAAAGGACAACCATCGAAGAGGACCTGCAAGGAAGAAGAGGTATACATCGGGGATAGAATCAGGTCGCATAGGTCAACAGCTCACGCAGACTAGCGGACACCAGTATCATCTTCCGTCTAATTAACGGGCGGAAGGAAGGGATCAAGTTCAGGCATCAGTGGATGGTCTCCCTCGTTGGGCGCTGTTTGTCATCAGATTAGGCCCTGCGTGGACATCCTTCGGCATCAGAGGTTAAGGCCAGTTTTTCACTGCCAATTCAGTTTTGGACAATTTTGCTTGTCAGTGTGGTGTTATGGCCATTTTCGGCGCAGCTGTTTCACCCAATAAATATCGATAGAATACAATTGATAGATCCACATAGGGGTGTTATACGTTCAGCTCAGGAATGCCACCCTGCCCCAAAAGCAGATCGGTAGCATGCACCACCTTATGGGGGAAAAGGTTCTTGACCGAGAATGGTTCGAAGCTGAAACAACGGTTCCAACCAGAAAAGAAAAGAGAAGGTGAAAAGAAACCACAAGGGAATAGAGCGGAATTGGTTCCAAGCTGCTCGGGCGGTTCACAAAGTTTGAAATTAGAAGTGAATTGTTGAAAAGAAAAGGAAAGAACTCTGTGAGCGTGCACTCAACAGTAAAGACGTTGAGCGAGGACAAGAAGCCAGTTCGAGAAAACTCAAAAGGCTCGGCCAGACCCAGTCCTCGCAGAGATAATTCTGGCCTGGCCACAAAATTGGCCGGGCCCATCATTTTTTTTATTGGTTCGATTTGGTGGCCTTAAATTTAAGACCTAAAATATTTTAAACATAACCTCGAATCGCGGTAAAGAGCTTCGGCAGGCATATATGCGCCAACACCGCCATTTAATAAATATATATGTACATGAGAACCGCCATTAAATAAAAAAACAAATTTCAAAGAAAGAGAATCGTCGAGGACGACCGACACGCCTTCCGATTGGCAACACCGGGAGCTTTGCAGCTTCAGCCGAAATTTTTTTTTTAATTTTAGGTTAAATTTAAATGTGTTCTTTTAGTTTGTTTGCGGAGCATTTTCGTTTATTTTAATCATTTATTCATTTATTAATATATGTTGGTTACATTTTCATCAATTTTAATATTTTAAATTATTATATATTATTTCATTTTTATTTCATATTTGCTACCCATTAATCCCATATTTATTTTATATTTATTTACTTATTTATACCATATTTGTAAACATATATGTCTAAAATACTTCAGTCGGTGCAGCAGTGAAGTTGTGCTGTTTTTCTGCAATTTTTTGTTGCATATCGTATTATATATTGCCGTTTATATTTCCCCTGCGACCCCTCTTGAGAGGACTTACGGGTAGGTATTAAAGGGAACTAAGTAAATTATAGAAAAATTTGTAAAAAAAAAAAATCGAGACCAAAAATCTGCAAAAAGGAGAAGCAATTTAAAAGGTGAATTAACCTGGGTAAGTTGAGGATAATGCCTATAAAATAAATATAAGATGAAGAGTCAAAGTATGAATATGGAGTAGCGATTTTAATGTGGGGGAAAGGGGAGTGAACCGGGATAATGAGTGTGTAGGTGTGTGTGTGACTCAGTTAAGGGGCAGTTGCAACAAAAAGTTTGACTCATGCGAGCAGCTGCATGGTAGGGAAGGCATGAGCATGTGGCCTCCAGTTCATCAGGAGAAGCCAGGTCCGTTGTGTGTGTGTGTGAGGACCCTGCAGTACCGCGAGTCATCAATAGCCACTATCATTAAGCCGTCATCAACTCGCCGACTGCGACTTCTATAGAGTCGACGTTCTGCCGACTGCGACTTCTACCGAGTCGACGCTCTGCCGGCTGCGACTTCTATAAAGTCGACGCTCTGCCGACTGCGACTTGTACGGAGCCTACGCTCTAATGTTGCCATGGTGATTGTCTCCCTCACTGCCTCACTCAGTCTTCAAACGAGCGAGATGAGCCAAAAGCAAATAAGTTAATAATTAAAATCGAACCAACTGTTTCGCACCCTAGAAATTTAGCATTTGTATTTGTATATTATATTATCATGAACAATTATAATGATGGTATTAGAAATAAATATTCTTTAAATATAAAACGCGAATGAAAAATTAATTGCATATCGAACAAATTTGTTTGAGTTGCAATAACATTTTAAGTAACTTGTAGCCTTGTCGGATATATCCTTTATACCCTGTTTCAAATGGAAGCAGAACACTCGGACACAAGTTAGCCAAACGGGACTTTGTGAAACAAAACGAACAATAAGAGAAAAAAACGGACTTGAGGATCCGTTTTTCCGGATCGTTGTTCGTTTTGTTGTTGGAGGGACGATCCTTTTTTTTCCTTTCCTTTTTTCGTGTTTTCACATGCACTTCACTGTTCAGTTTTCAATAATTGAAATTATATATCAGGTAAGTTTTTATGTAAAGATTTAAAAAAAAGTTTACTTTCGTATCAATTCTGTCTTCTATTTGTGTCCATCTTTCCCTCCTCCCACTTCGTGTCTGCATGCAGCTATTAAGATACATACATCGATGGTGCGAAGTGTAAGAAAAGGCTTCGAGACCATAAGAAGTTCTACTTAGCACTCTTAGGTAATTATGTTATGTTTTTTTTTTTAGATATTGATTTCGATTTATTTTCCATATTTTCCTTTTGCAGATGCAATAAGTCAAGTTGATGCAACGGAGCCATCTGCTAAACTGTTGACTAAAAGCACTAAGCAAGAAATACATAGAGAAGTCAATCACTACAAAATGCAATAAGTCAAGTTGATGCAACGGAGCCATCTGCTAAACTGTTGACTAGAAGCACTAAGCAAGAAATACATAGAGAAGTCAAACACTACAAAAAAGTACTATCACAAAAACGGCTGAGCCTGGAATCCCAGAGCACCCGAACGATATGTCTAGAACCCCAGAGTGCGTTCGGCTTTTTCGAGTTCGAAACCGGGCACAACAAGAATTCACTTTTCAGTGGCAGATCGACCGTGGAACGATGAGCAGGGGTGCGTTTCTTTGCGCTGTGCTCTCGTTTCTGTGTATATGTGTACAAGGGCTCGCACGTTTGTATGCGTCTTCAAATTTCTGTATGCAGTTTTTTTTAAAGATTTTGGGCAGCCACAGCCTGTGCGCCGAAGCGGCGGCTCACTTATTCGCATTTTTAGCGCACTTATTTGTTGTTTTTAGCAAGTGAAAAAACTTAAATTAAAATAAGAAGTAATTATAGTTAGATAACTTAAATAATTTGTCCCCCAATGGAAGCGCTAGCCGCTAAGCATTTTGCAAAGAATTAATTGACAGCAAACGAATTGCAATGTTTTTGTTTTTGTTATTTTTTACTATGTTTTAAGTTAAAATATTTAAGTTTTGTTTTTTATATCTATAGATTAAAATTATCCTAATAATATTATAAAGGAAAATTTAAAAAAAATCTTTTATTTATTCATAAATTTTCAGTTTAAACCCAAAATTGTGAGGGATTTTTCGTTTTGCAAAGAATTACTTGTATTTGTACTGTACATATTCATGTCAGTTTTAAAAGTTCCAAAGTCTATAAAAAACATCTCATTAAAACCATAAATAAGTTCGACTAGTTTTTGAGTATCCGCTATGAATAAAAGCAAAATTTACAACAAATTTAGTTAAGTTTGAAAGATTCCATGTAAAAATAAGTTGGAACAACATGCTTCTATTGACTTAGATTTTGAAACATGCAGTTGACACTTTTGTAAAAATTCCAATATTTAAATTTACTTGGTTTACACAATGGCTGTTAACATTTTAACTATAGCAATTATCCTAAGCCATTTATACACTCAAATAATTTTTTATTAGTGAGAACAGACTTGGCTCCTTAGGCACGGATCCATTGCATTTCAATTTCCATTCCTTCGAATTCATTCTAGTTTCGTTGTGGTATTATTTTTAGCCTTTTTTTTAATTTTCTTGGTCACACTGGTGACCCAGCAAAATATATAGACATTTCGCCTTCTACATTCTTTGAGAGGATTTATCTATCTATTGAACGTATGTTCTATAAGATTTTGCCGTTACTAATTTTCTTCTTTGTTCTCCATCCGTTGTCTATACGAATTTGATGAACTTGTTTTGCCGATATTGCATCGGTGCAACACTGAATTCTTGTTCTTGTCAGTGAACTTTCTGGAAGGAACGAGTGAAAAAATTAAGGCGCCAAAGTTTAAAATCTACCTCTAAATTGTCTTGAATTCCTACAATATTTTATTTAACAGTTATTTCTGTCATATTTTGAATAGATTTTTTGGGGTAATACCACAATGCACACTCTTTGGGGCATTTGCTCATTGTTAAAGAAAAATCATTCGAGAATTTCCAATTCCTCATTTAATTTAATATAGTGCTAATCTGCCTCAATCTGAATGTTTTCTATTGTTGAACAGCTCAAATTAATTTATAACAAGTTTTTTTTTTGGATGAGCAACAGCTGTTATTGGTAGGAGGATGAAGATATAGCTCTGTGGGAATCGAAATTTCACTTCTGCAAAAATTCTCAACTGTTTCACTCAGATAGACTGTTTGGGCAGACTGTTTCTTTTCAAATATATTTACTTTCAGAAAAATGTGACATGTTCATTGAATATTCCCAGGAAATTGGATAAAGATTTGCAAATATAAACATCTGCTCTATAAGTCCAAGGAATAAGTTTCTCATAAATTTCTTGATTTTAAAACTTTTTTAAGACAATTGTTAATTACTAAATACTCGGTAGATAGTTACCAGATAACTAGCGACATAACAGATATAAACACTGAAAGCAGTTAAAGTAGGTACAGTTCATTTGAAAGCTTGAGTTGAAAACTGTGTCTGAACTCTTTAAGCAACACTGATTTATCGATAAGTAATAATAATTCTAAAATATGAAATCTGAAGTTATTGAATAGAAAATACAGTATTTGAAGTAAAATGTTTTATGAACACATTATATTGGCCAAGAAAGGTCCATTGGCCAGGATTTGGTTAGCAGCACACTGGGATAAAAAAATAACTAAAGCCCATGTGTTTGAAACAAATATCGAAAAATCAGTCGAAGGCATATTGCAACCTAAAGTTAAATTGGCGCTGAGGACATCTGGACATCTATTACTGGGAGTCGTGCGCATTTATTCCAGAAAGGCCAAGTATTTATTAGCGGATTGCAATGAAGCCTTTGTTAAGATTAAGGTACGGTGAATAATTTATAAATAAGAATATTTTCTAATACGCCTCTTTGTTTCTGTAGATGGCATTTCGACCTGGGATGGTTGACCTACCGGAAGGCCACCGGGAAGCGAATGTTAATGCCATCACACTTCCTGAAGTTTTTCACGACTTTGATACTGCATTGCCCGAACTTAATGATATTGATATTGAAGCTCAATTCTCTATAAATCAGTCTAGAGCTGACGAAATAACAATGAGAGAAGATTACGCCAGTTTGTCGCTCTCTTTACAGGACGACGGCTTTGGAGACATAGGTTTTGAAGCGGAAACGCCAGAAGTTATTCGGGGCGCTTCAGACATAAATGTAAGTACTTGCAAAATATACAGGTTCATACATATGTATAAATTTTTTCAATAAGCGATAAAAAAGACGCAAAAAATAAAAAAAATCCTTGCAGTACCATCTATCAGTAATTCATCAACAATTCAATAAAAAAAAGAATGTCCATACAAATTACTGAAAATTTTAACATGATTCATCAACAATTCATGTGTTTCAAAACTATTTTTTTGGACTTGAAAATCATAATTTGCTGTTAATTGTATAATTCAAATCTTAACATTTAATTTTAATTGGTTTTCCCTCACATAAAATACTTAATTCCACTGTTTTTCATATAATTCAACGGTTACATACATATGTATGTGTATAATTTCCCTTTTTTTCAATTAATTCCACTGTTTTATATTTTGTTCATCTGATTTTCATAAATTCTAATATTTATCATATACATTGTGCTGTACCAAAAACTTTCACGCGATAAGTGGAATTTCACAATTTAACCTTTTATTCACGTTTTTCTCTTGGACGTTGAATCACTAAGGTCAGTACATTCAAGTGGCCCGTATGACACCAGGCAAGTGCCTGTTTGAGTTAGGTGTTAGTAGGCGCGGTGGAAAATATAGGACAGAATACGAGGAAATTGACTACCGGCGTGCTGCCAGATTGTTAGCTTGCATGTTTACTAAGTGTGTTAGTATTAAAGATTTTAATTTGGGAAGGGTATCTACGTTAGAGATTAGTGTGTACAAATCATTATAATTTGCACATAGCACTCTAAAAGGTTCATGCAGTTCAAAGGAGGTTCTGCAGTGGCGCAACACTAATGGGATATAGGATCTAGTAGTTCTACATGGTACATGGAAATTAAGCTGACTCAACAAGTCAGCACTTTCCACATCACCATGTATAAGGTTAAAAATAAAGGTTATCCCTAGCATCGTTCTACGATTGGCTAATGACGGCAAGTTTATTAATAGGAGTCTACTAGAGTAGGAAGGTAATCTTTGGTTTGCATCCCAATTTAAACCGCGTAGAGCGAAAAGTGAAAAGTTCTTTTGAACCGACTCGATGCGTTTACTATGGACGCCGTACTGAGGGCTTCAAACGCAGCATCCATGTTCTAGGATAGGACGAACTAAGGAAGTATATATGGATTTAGTAACATAGGGGTCATTGAATTCCTTCGACCACCGTTTAAGAAATCCAAGCACACCCCTGGCTCTATTCACCATAGACGATATATGATCAATAAAGTCAAGTTTTGGATCCAAGCGGACGCCCAAATCGTCAACAGAATTAATTCTTTCCAAAGAGCAGCAGTTCAGCGTGTAAGTAGCAAGCTTAGGAACGACACGTGAGAATGTCATTAGCTTGCATTTCGAGTCATTTAAGTTTAATAAGTTTACACGGCACCAAGTTTGAAAATTATTAAGATCTGTTTGTAAATCCGACTGGCAGGCAACGTCATTGTATTGCACGCAAAGCTTGACGTCATCCGCGTACATAAGTACTCTGGAGTTAGTCAAGAATTTGGGCAGGTCATTTATGAACAATGTAAACAATAAGGGTCCCAAATGGCTTCCTTGCGGGACACCAGATGTAACCCTTAGAACATTGGATAAATTATTCTTAAAGAGGACCTTTTGCGTCCTGACATTCAAATAACTTGAGATCCAATTAAGATGATCACTTGGAAAACCCATGGAATCGAGTTTTCTAACGAGGAGAGAATGGTTAACAGAGTCAAATGCTTTACTGAAAAAAGTATAGATTACATCTGTCTGACAATTATTATGGAAGCCCTTTATAATATAGGAAGAGAGCTCCAAAAGATTTCCATAAATTTTGAAATATACTTAGTTCATTTTATTCTACAATTTTGTGTAAAATTTTTTGAATATTGTACTTCCATATCATATAACTGCAAAAGGAACGATCGAGAAGTTAATAGAATTTAAAAGTATAACTTTCAGTTTTCAACAGATTTTCATCACTTTTTATTATTTTACAATTTTGTGTAAAATTGTATAAAAAAAGGTCGACTGTATCATATATCTGCCATACAAGCGATCGTTAGATATAGATGAAAAATTCAAAACTGTGAATGTAAAATTTTAAATATAATATGTATAGGCGAATGAAATGAAAGCAGGTATTATTTCATTGTTTTTTTAACATAAATATAAATATATATATTATATGTATAAATTCCTAGTCTATCTTAAAGGGTATATAAACTTCGGCGTGCTGAAGTTAGCTCTTCTTCTTGTTGTTTATGAAATAATAATAATTTAAATTACATTTATAAATTCGACTCTACTTCTGTTCGCTAAGTTAAGAAGACTCCAAATCAGATTCAGAGCTGTCATTACCATATCGATCAATTTCTGGCATCAAATCTTGGTTATTCTTTTGTTTCACAAGCTACGCTTAAAAGCGGCTAAAAAGTCAGACTGGGTTCATCGCATTGTCATTCTAAAAATACGCGGATAGCCTTGAAGGCATCTTCTCAGAGCTGTGTTGAAAGAATACGTTGTTCTAGTCTTGGAATAGTTTGGGTCCTCAGGGAAACTCGACTTGAAACTTTACTTTCGAGTTTCCATTATGCACGCTCCATGAGCTGATCTGCCAGCATCGCAAAACCCATTCAGTCCGATGGAAGCTTGTGGTTGCATTACGAATTCCAATGTAGTTCAGAAATACATCAAAAATTTGTTGCGTAGTGGCAAGGAAACGGATTGCTTGCAGGTAGGAATTCCTGCAATCTCTGATCTCTCCGGTCCCTTCTCAACACATTGAAAACCCAATAATTTCATGAAAGTGTGCCTGAAATGTAAAGCTTTATAATCGATCGAAAAATAAATTCAAATCCTTTTCATATTTGGCATTCGACGGTTTGAGGTACCGTATGGTCTCCAGACTTCTGCCGCCTAAACTTGACCGCAAATATTGTAATTTTTAAACCGTTGTAAGGTTTTTTAATCAAAAGCCGAATCGATCCGTCTGTCCGTTTCTATGCAAATTAGTCTCTCAGTTTTTAAGTTATCTAAATAAAAATTTGCACTTAGATGTTTACATATACTATGCCTCGTATTATATAGCTACCATAGGAACGATCGGAAAATTGTTAGAAAATTATTACTACCTGATAGTTTCATGTAATTTTAGATATAGATATTGTAATATTCTAGATATTCCGTTTTAAATCATATAGTTGACATTGGAAACAATCGAAAAATTTAAAAAAAGTATAACTTCTGTTTTTTTTATATATATATTTTCATCAATTTAGAGATTTAGCTTTTTATTTATTTTATTTTGTACACTGTAAGCAGAAGTTTCAAACTTAAGCTACAGGACGGGATCGGCCATAACAGCGGTGATTTTCGTCCGGAATAAGGTTTACATAATTTGCTTAAATAAATATAGAGGGTTCTTATAAATGTTAAGTTAATTGCATATGGATTATTTACAAGTAACAAATAACAGATATTTTATGAGGAAAGTGATAGGTTTATATACGATGCAAAAGATTTGCTGATTTAAGGAAATTTAGAATTAACTGGAGGTTTGCAAAATTAGGGTTGATTAACTGATCGGTAAGTTTAATGTTTGGTAAGTTTGTTCTATGAGTTTGTAGGGCTGGTCAGTCGTTAAGGATATGGGAGATAGATATCTTTTCGTTGGTAAAGACTTGGCACTGATCGTTTGGTGGTTGTGGGAAGCGATGTTCGTGGGTGAGTCTGGTGTGGCCGAGTCGAAGACGGATTATTTTAGTGATCTCTCTTCTTGGATTTAGTTTTTTATTTTTAAATGGCTGGTTTAGATCGTTAAACGTATACGAAAATGCTAAACTGTGAATGTAAAACTATAACTCTAATATAAGTAGGCATAACTTCCTAGTTATTAACATAAATATATAAATTTATATTGCATTAATTAATAGTGATCTGATTGCATTGAAAAAGTGTATTTTCATCTCCTCTGAGAAATTATATTTTCTTTCAGAATTTGGTTTTAATTTTATGAAAATAGGATGACAAATAATCGACTGATCGCTAGCGTCCGGCTTCACGCCACATTTACTTGATTTTGTTTATAAAATAACTTAAGTAGACAACTATACGTGTATACCAGAAAAAATTTTAGGGATATTCTTAAATATTAATTTAATTGTCCAAGCAATAGTTTTTGTCCCGATACCTCATAAAATAATATATTAGTTAATGTTGCTCCCCCTCTTCTTAACATTTATGGCTTTATGAAAACGAAATAATAAATAAGAAAATATTCAATAAATAATAAATATTAACTTATTATTAAAGAGTAACTAAGGATGTTGCTGATTCCCTAAAGTTTGAAGGCCTATTTTTATACCCTTGCAGGGTATTATAATTTCAGTCAGAAGTTTGCAACGCAGTGAAGGAGGCACCTCCGACTATATAAAGTATATATATTCTTGATCAGGACCAACAGCCGAGTCGATCTAGCCATGTCCGTCTGTCCGTTTCTACGCAAACTAGTCTCTCAGTTTTGAAGCTATCTGAATGAAACTTTGCAGTTAGTCTTCTATATACTCTCACTCGTATATATGTCGGAACGGGCCGGATCGGACGACTATATCATATAGCTGCCATAGGAATAATCGGAAAATGTTTACAAAAAAAATTATAAAATTTTCAGTTTTCAACAGAATTTGATCCAATTTAATTAGTGATAATAAACTGGCGTAATTAGTTTTTGTCAGCAGTCGTCAAGTCGTTAGTTTTATTCCACGCAACATAAGGAACGCATGTTAAACGTTTTTATAAAAAAATTCACATAAATTGAACAGTACATAAACAGACAATATTCAGTTAAAAAATACATACCTTAATTTGCAGTTTCCATTACCATCTACAGTTCGTTCCAACAAAGAGTATTTACCTTTACGCAAAAAAATAAACAGAGCCGCCTATTTCTTATTCCCAAACTGCTTTTCGATTGTGTGGTTTGAAAAGCTCATAAAATGCTTTAGTACA